TACCGTGGACAGCCGACTTTGATATTCTTCATATTCTGTGTGGTGGTCAGTTCACAGCAGTGATAGAAATTAATCTTTTCCAATAAGTTTAAATAGATTTTTACCTTTTATGGTCATTTTTACAATTAAGCCATTTTTTTTCTAAAAGTGTACATCATCATCTGAGTCAAATTCTTACATTTAGTCAGTCAATTAGAATAATAAGACATTTGGGCTGTTATCAAGCAAATTAAATCAGTATCAACAAAATTCATCTTTGCAATGCAGAGGAAACAGACGCTGCATCTGAAGTAGCATTTAGATGCATTTACACCCAGTTTAATGCAGGACATGAATGCTTTTAACCTGCAGTTACACATGCATATATAATGTTTTAATACTGTAAATATAAAACTTTGAATACTGATATTTGAAATTATATAAAAACTTTTTTTTTTCTTTAAATGTGAAATTAAAAACCGCCAGCAGGTGGCAGCAAGTCACTGTTAATAAGTGAGTCACTGTGATTGAACCAAATCATTTACACGGTTGATTCATTCAGGAACGAAACAGTCATGTTGCTCAGAGATGCGACACAGTGCTATGGCTTTGTTTGGAATTATTTTTGTTGGCGAAATAGAGCAAAAACAGGAAATATGGTGTCTAAAATGCAAGTCTCTTAATATTAAATTCTTGCTTATTAAACTGTTGTTTAAAATCAATATCACATTTGTAATGATGCTGATTTTTGGAGGAAAAAAATGGCACTCTTCATGTGATATTAACGATATGAAATGATAAAAAGCCCCCATATCTTGAATTTTGTGGTGCATTTTAATAGACTGAATCATGCAGTGACTAAACGCACTCTCCAACCTTGCGAAAGTATTCATACCCCATTTATTTTTTCACATTTTGTTATGTTGACTTGCTGCCTTATGTTAAACTGCTTTAACTTACTTTTCTTCCACATCAATCTACTCTTCCCCAGATGTGTGGCTTGACACAAACCTGTTTCTGAGCTCTACAGGCAGTTCTTTTGACCTCAGAGCTTGGTTTTTGCTCTGATATGCATTATCAGCTGTTAGACCTTTTATTACAATGTGTGTGCCTTTCCAAATCATACCCATTCAATTGAATTTGCACAGGTTAACTTCACTTGAAGTGTAGTAACATCTACAAGCAATTTGAATGCTCCTGAGCTAAATTTCAACTGTCCCAGAGGTATGAATACTTATGCAATGGAATAATTTTTTATTTTTAATAAATTTGCAAAGATGTTAAAAACCTGTTTTTTTGCTTTACCATTATGGTGTATGGAGTGTAGATTGATGTGGGAAAAAGTCATTTAAAGCAGTTTGGCATAAGGCAACAACTTAACAAAATGTGAAAAAAATTAAGGGGTATGAATATTTTCGCAAGGCACTGTAAATGCACACTAGTCTAACCTAGACTTCATCACATCATGTATGCGTGCACTCTTTGTAGGTGTTTTGTTTGGTTTTTGCAATATACTCGATAATGTCAAATCGCACATCGTTAAAACAATTACTATATTATCGCAGACCCCTACATGAGCATCCTGACGATTAAAGGTCTTAACGATTGAACCTGATAATCCTGAACATTTTGCCACACACTTTTCCCTGCATTTCTTGTGTTTGGCACTCTCCGTGTTTAACCAAGCTCTCGAGCTTAAATTGTGCAGATTCGGTGGCGAATGCTGTTAGTGTTACCTGCAAACTCCATCCCACAGGCTTTAAAGTGAATGCAGTGCAAAGAGCACAGAGCATTTTCATAGCGGAGCCACTCGAAGTCTTTCAACCATTCTCTCTAAAATCTGTACGCTTACTTTTCGGCTGGTGGATCAACATTCACCACATAATCTCTAACATCAGCACCATTATTTGTAACTTTAGGTGGTTTACAAAAAAAATCTGTTGGTGTTCTTTTCATTTTCTCTCTTCTTCAGCCCTTTGTATTTCACACGGTAGTTAGCTCCCTGTCAGCTGACAGCAGAAAGCAGTGATTGACAGCTAATATTAACCAATCTAAAATCTGCATTAAATTTAAGAATGTAAAGATGGATTTATGTAACGTTTGATAGAACGGCAGACGGTCACCGTATCAGCACACAGAAGGCACATAACTGTTCGGTGGCGAATGCTGTTAGTGTTACCTGCAAACTCCATCCCACAGGCTTTAAAGTGAATGCAGTACAAAGAGCACAGAGCATTTTCATAGCGGAGCCACTCGAAGTCTTTCAACCATTCTCTCTAAAATCTGTACGCTTACTTTTCGGCTGGTGGATCAACATTCACCACATAATCTCTAACATCAGCACCATTATTTGTAACTTTAGGTGGTTTACAAAAACAATCTGTTGGTGTTCTTTTCATTTTCTCTCTTCTTCAGCCCTTTGTATTTCACACGGTAGTTAGCTCCCTGTCAGCTGACAGCAGAAAGCAGTGATTGACAGCTAATATTAACCAATCTAAAATCTGCATTAAATTGAAGAATGTAAAGGTGGAGTTATGTAACGTTTGATAGAACGGCAGATGGTCACCGTATCAGCACACAGAAGGCACATAACTGTTAACGTTTTTTAGAGAAATTAAAACCGGTCGCACTACAACAATTATATGCACTCGCACAAATGCTCCCAAATATATTGTGAGGTTGCACAGATTAAATTATGGGAGCATATGCAACCAAAATGGTCGCAATTTCGAGCCTTTATTAGAGTTGCTGAAAATCTGGGTAAATTCATGTAACTGCTGACATCCTTTGCACCCGTAATCTTCTGATGACGGCCTCTTGAAATCTGTATAAACTACAGTGATTCAGTGCTTTAGTCAGTCTTGATGACTGCAGCACCACACAGTACCATCTCAATCAAGAACCTGATGAAGATTCACTCAGCCTCTGATCTTCACTTCTGAGTTTCTTACAGCCGTAAAGGGATATTGTAGGTATTTTGTTTTCAAAACTATAGTTCACTAATATAATCAAATGTATGTGTACTTTTAATACCCTGTGAAGGATATACTTCTACAGTTTGTTTATAATAAGCTGCTTAATACATCTTATATTTAGAAACTGAACATCTTTCACTCCTAACAATGAAAGATGTATGTTGTCATTTTTTGCTGGTTGATGAAACCTAACATGTACAGCTTTAAAGGGTTAGTTCACCCAAAAATTAAAATTAGGCTGTGTGTTACTCACCCCAGAGGCATCCTAGGTGTATATGACTTTCTTCTTTCAGACGAATCCAGTCGGAGTTATTTTAAAAATTGTCCTGGTTATTCCAAGCTCTATCATTGCAGTCAGCAGGTGTTGCAGTGCTTCGGCCCCAAAAGACGTTAAATAAAAAGTGCCCATCCATAAAAAAAGTGTCTCACACGGCTCCGGGGAGTGAACAAAGGCCTCCTGTAGCGAATCGAAGCGTTTTGTAAGAAAAATATCCATATTCAAAACATAATAATCACTTTATTCTAGCTTGCGCTCACTGTTGTAAACGGATGCAGCTCCGGGCGGATGACGTATGAGTTCGGCTTTGCTCATGCGCCGCTCAGAAGTGACGAACCGGAAGCGCATCAGAGAGAACAAAACAACGGTCACTAATTAGAAGTGCAAAACAAGGATTTTATAAAGAAGAATGTCAGAGGATTTCGATATAAGCCAAGAGAAGACTTGCTAAAGTAAGGAAACTTTGCTTCCTTTGATCCTGTAAAGAAACGGTTTTCACGAGACTCACCGGCGCATGCGCAATGCTGAACTCCTACGTCATCAGCCCGGAGCTGCTTCCGTGTACAACTGTTGGCACAAGCTAGATTAAAGTGATTATTACGTTTTGAATATGGATATTTTTCTTACAAAACGCATCGATTCGCTACAGGAGGCCTTTGTTCACCCCCCGGAGCCGTGTGAGACACTTTATTTTTTTTATGGATTGTGCTTTTTATTTCACTTCTTTTGGACTGAAGCACTGCAACACCCGCTGACTGCAATGATAGAGCTTGGAATAACCAGGACAATTTTTAATATAACTCTGACTGGATTCGACTTGTAAGATGGCGCCGACGCTGATGGCTGCCTCCGTGGCGTGCTCCGCAGTTGTTTTTATGTTTTTGTTAGTTTGTCCTGTCTTTAGTTATATCCCTGCAATCAGTTTCACCAGAGACGAATTGCTGGACATTCGGAAGTACACACCACCCGATATTTCACCGTTTTTTGATTATTCTGATGTTTTGCTGGACATTGTTGTCGGGGGAGCTGTGGCGTTGATTAAGCGCTTCAGTACGCGCAGACGGGGGAAGCGAGCCGGCGCGCTCGTCAAGCTCAGGCAGCGCGGATTCAGCACGCCGTTGCCTAGCATCCATCTGGCGAACCTCCGCTCTCTACCCAACAAAACAGACGAACTCCTTCTGCTCTCCCGGACAAATAAGGATTTTTCTAACTCTGCTGCTCTGTGTTTCACGGAAGCCTGGCTGAAAGACGCCATTCCGGACAGCGTGTTGAGTCTGCTGGGCTTTCAGCTGTTTAGAGCAGATTGCGACGCAGAATCAACGGGGAAATCGCGCGGCGGCGGGACATGCATTTACATCAATGAGAGGTGGTGTACAGATGTAACTGTGTTAAAGAAGATGTGCTGTTCAGATCTAGAAGTGCTCTTCATTAATTGCAAGCCGTTCTACTCGCCGCGGGAGTTTTGCTCGTTCATTCTCGATTCTTCTTCTGAAAGAAGAAAGTCATATACACACCTAGGATGCCTCTGGGGTGAGTAACACACAGACTAATTTTAAGGTGAACTAACCCTTTAATCAGTGAACTATATGTCTGTCTTCTGAAATAAAAATTGCTCATATAAAGATACTTAATTATTAACTATCACAAATGCGCTGTAGTTAATAGGGAATTGAGAGCACTTCACACTTGCTTATATAAGGTCTGTGTTGTTCATAACTTAAGGAATCTGTGATTCATTTCTTACAGATCCACGTGACACTATTATAAAGATGGCATTTATTAAAGAGGAGAGTGAAGACCTGAAGATTGAAGAAACATTCAGAGACAAACATGAAGATACTGAGGAACAAACAGGTTGGTTTTCATTCTCAAAACTGCACTCACTCATTTGATCCTTATTAAAATGTCCAGTTCTACAGAAAGGAATGATATTTTAGAAGAATGTCACACGAGTTTTGTAATTAGAAATGTTTTATTTGACATGGAACGGGTCACATCATGTTAGAGTTGCCACCTTCAGCGAGGCAAAATAAGGCACACCCATTCACGACGTATTATATTAGTATTATAAATGGTGCAAAATACTTATTTGTTGATTCAACTTTGGCCTTTGTAAAATACAGGACAAATCGTGTCCCGTATTGATTTGATACGGGACACATGAATTTACCTTTAAATATGGGACGATTCCATATTTTAAAGGGGTCCTATTATGCTCTTTTACAATGCATGCTTGGTGGTTCGAAAAACGCATTTTTTTACATAATTTACATTATTACAAACGGCTCGATTAGTTCCGGGTTTGATGAACGCCCGCCTTCCGAAAAACGAAATGTGATGTGATTGGTTAGCTATCCCAGTGCGTTGTGATTGGCGAACAGCTTAGACGGTGTTTCAGTACTGCCCTGCCCCTTGCCAAAGCAGCAAGTTTAGTTAAGGATGGCGTCAATATTGCCATATCAATTTGAGCCGGATTCAGACCCAGAGAATATTGAAAAAGAGGATCGCGCAGAACCTTTGCACGCACGGAAATTGCAAGACATATTAGACTGGTAATGTTACTGTGTTTTTTTTTATTTTGGTTAAATCACGTTTTAAATAGGATGTCAACAACCGCTTAAAAATGACTGCATTTACTATGCACAGATAAGTGCATATGTATTATTTTTATTGTTATTTAATTCTAACATTATTACATGAATTGCAGTGAAACTGTTATACAGTTGAATTTATTTATACCATAATCCAGTATTTCCCAGGCAGCATATATATGCAAACTCATTCTCTGCCAGCAGGAGGTGCTGTTTGAGTGGTAGAGATCAAGGTTTCCCGGTAACGGCTGTACACAAAGCAGCGCTCCGCTCAAAAAAACACTGCTTTATCAGACGTTACATGCCAGATTTTTTTCTGAAGACAGTCTGTTTCCTTCAGAAATACAGTGATATAAAAACACCCGCACTCAATGTATGGGAAACACTGTAGTCTCATAATTGAAGTGTAAATTCTGCAGATTACATCGTTGTCCAGTATTGTACTCTCAGCAATTTATTATAAAAACGTTTTCATAATTGTAACACATTTACATAATTATTCAGGTGCATGTGTAAAAACTTGACGCTACAGCAGCCCTTCTTCATCGTCTCGTCTGATGTGCTCACTCAACCAAGCGTTCTTACCACAACCTCGCCCCTCCCCACCCCCCAACCATTCACATTTCTGTAGGCGGGAATTATTTGTAATGATATTCTAATGGGCCGCTTTGTGATATCACAAAACCCGGAAAACAAACGCTGTAGTCCAAACGAGCCATTCGTTGTAGTTCTTGAAAAGGGATTTTTTAAAATGAAATATCTCCCTTTGGAGTGCACTTTGAGATTTGTAAGTTTGAAGTTCTTTTTTTATGCCCAAACATACACACTGACTAAAATTAAAAAAGTGAAAAGCATAATAGGACCCCTTTAAGGCACAGGTGGCAACCCTACATTGTGTGGACAGACATGTTGAGATCACATGACCCATTACCATTAAACATGCGCAACTAAGATTACACAATCTTGGCTCTTTTTTTTTATCATCACTTCGAATAATGGGAAGAAATTTTAAGATCTCATTTAACACCTCCTTTTGTAGCTTAGTGTGTATAAGATCTCCATGTTGTTGATTTTAATGTTTGTTCTTTGTGCCATTAAAAATGGTGTTAATCTGGATGTCTTTTTTGCATTAGATCTGATGACACTGAAAGAGGAGAGTCAAGAACTCAATGAAAAGGAAGATAATGTTCAGCATGAGAAATATGGTTTCATGACTGAAGAAAAATCATTTAGTTGCTCACATACTGAAAAGACTTCAGAAAAAAGAGCTCAAAAGACAGCAAATAGAAGTTATTTCACCTGCCAACAGTGCGGGAAAAGTTTCACCAGAAAAGGAAATCTTGAAGTCCACATGAGAGTTCACACTGGAGAGAAACCTTTCACCTGCCAACAGTGTGGGAAGAGTTTCATTAATAAACCAAACCTTAAAAAACACACTAGAATTCATACTGGAGAGAAACCTTACACATGCTCTCAATGTGGAAAAAGTTTTAAACACAAACAACACCTGCATGACCACAAGATAATTCATACTGGAGAGAAACCTTTCACCTGCAAACTGTGTGGAAAGAACTTCATTCATAAACCAAAACTTCAAAGCCACATGAGAATTCACACAGGAGAGAAGCCTTACACATGCTCTCAATGTGGAAAAAGTTTTACATATAAACAACGCCTCGATGACCACATGCAAATTCATACTGGAGAGAAACCTTTCACCTGCCCTCAGTGTGGAAAGCGCTTTGCTAAAAAAAGAACCCTTAAAGACCACATGAGAGTTCACACTGGAGAGAAGCCTTTCACCTGCAAACTGTGTGGAAAGAACTTCATTCAAAAACCAAAACTTCAAAGCCACATGAGAATTCACACTGGAGAGAAGCCTTACACATGCTCTCAATGTGGAAAAAGTTTTACATATAAACAACGCCTCGATGACCACATGCAAATTCATACTGGAGAGAAACCTTTCACCTGCCCTCAGTGTGGAAAGCGCTTTGCTAAAAAAAGAACCCTTAAAGACCACATGAGAGTTCACACTGGAGAGAAGCCTTTCACCTGCAAACTGTGTGGAAAGAACTTCATTCGAAAAGCAAACCTTAAATATCACATGTTCAGTCACAGTGGAGAGAAACCTTACACATGCTCTCAATGTGGAAAAAGTTTTAAACATAAACAACACCTCGATGTCCACATGAGGATTCATACTGGAGAGAAACCTTGCTCCTGTCAACAATGTGGAAAGAGCTTCACTAAAAGAGGAAACCTTAAAAAACACATGAAGATTCACCCTGGAGAGAAGCTGTTTACATGTGATCAGAGCAGGGACGGATTATTACTTCAAAAGAATATTTAAACCATTCTCACTCGGCGTCAAATGCCTGTGCAACACCTATGTTAATCATCTGTACAGCAGTTTAGTTTTTTTTTGCAGCGATGGTGGAAACGACACAAGACCATATATTACCGCAACTGTCAAGACCGGCCCAGATGGTGTTTAGTGTCCCCACCAGCGGCAATAGAAGTGAGTGCGCCTTCAGCACAGCTGGAAGAGTTGTAGAAGAAAAAAGAACTGGATTAAAACGGGCTGCCCATGACCAAAGATTTTTCTAGTCGACTAGTAGTAGTAATAAATACTAAACCATAATGTGCCTTTAATATTTAGGCTATTACTAGCCTATTCTATTCCGCGCTCAGTGTTGCAAAGATGAAGTTGACCATCCTGATTTGCCATCTCCTCACTGGACATGCCTTTATGGATTACATAATGAAAGAGTTTTTGTTTGCAAATTATTGAATAATTTCGTTTTGTAGTCATTTAAAGCTTTCTATAGATATATTTGTCATGTCTGTGATGCTAGTATTCGCCGAGTTTTGGTTCAATTTTGTGAGACGGCAGAAAGTGCATCTTGTATGTTTGTTTGTTTTTTATTTTATTTTACAAAAGCAACATTTTGATATTGTGAGTGCACTCAAATAATAGTAGACCCTTTACAGTACTTAATGATGTATTAGTCTTATCTGTATGAGCAAAAATGACTGCGTATTTTAAGGAGTTTCCACGGTTATAAAAAAAAAATGCAAGTGATCGCACTGGCGCCTTTATGCATTAAGTGCACTGTAGCTTACACTCTCCACACAAATGCTTGGATATTTGCCTAACAGCGCACTAATCTATGTTAAACATTTAAACTAACATTGTAATATGATTAAAGTGTTTTATATCTATAGATTTTCTTTGGCAATTTTACAGAATTAAAGACTTAAACTACACTTTTTTTCTGATATAATTTTTCTCGCCACTAGTGTACTATAAGGCAAATTAAGGAGTATGAAACATGTCTTTAACTGTCAAATATACATGTACACTATATTTCCAAAAGTATTGGGACACCCCCTTCTAATGAACAGGTTTGACTACTTTAATTTCCATGAGTACAAATCTTATAGGGGTCATAGGATGCTACATGCACTTTTACAAGCTGTTTGAACTGAAATGTGTGTTGGCAGTGTGTGTACACAACCACCCTATAATGATAAAAATCCACCCAGTGTTTTTTTTTTTTTTTATCTACTCGAATCTTTACACCTTTCTCAAATCGAGCCGATCTCCGATGCATGACTGTGTGACATCACAAAAACAGGATAGTTTGATTGACAGTAATGTTTCAGCACAGACTGGACTGGTGTCTTACCTTAGACCTGCCCTGAGTGAGCTGTCATCAGTCCGCCGTTGTTTCACCGCCGGAGCAGATGTAGACTAGAATGACTCCTGAGCGATTGAGGTGTTCTGTTGTTGGATGTAATAATGAACATAGCAGTCGTCATTTACTCCCGACATCTGAGCCGCTGAAGTCTGTGCTGAGTGGATTACCTTTGTTTTTGAAAGGAATTCGCCCCTGATCTACATATGTGTTTGTTCACGCAAATTATTTGTGAATCAGCTTCACCTATAGAAGAAGTGAGTATAATGTTTTGTAATGAATCTTTTGTAAATTTCCTAATAATGTGCTAATTAGCAAGTTTGACGATGAATGCGGCTAAAGTAAACAGTCTCTCTGAGAACGGCTCGGAAGAGAGGGGCGAGGTCAGCAGAGCTCATTAACATTAAAAGGAAAATGCTACAAGAACGGCTTGCTCTGAAAGAGCTGTTTTTGACAGGGTAAAAAAGGTGTTTTTTACACTACCATTGAGAAATGTTAACCAAACTATGTTACAGACTTTTCATTGCAATAGTCCAGCCTGGACCAAACAAGAGCTTGAACCAAGGAGTTGTGTTGCATGTTCTGAAAGAAATGGCCTGATCTTCTTAATGTTGTATAAAGCAAATCTGCAGGACTGGGCAGTTTTAGCAATGTGGTCTGAGAAATTTAGCTTATCATCAATCACAACTCCAAGGTTTCTAGCTGTTTTTGAAGGAGTTGTGGTTGATGAACCTAACTGGATGGTGAAATTTTGATAAAGTGATGGGTTTGTTGAAACCACAAGCAGTTCTGTCTTAGCTAGGTTGAGTTGAAGGTGATGGTCCGTCATCCAACAAGAAATGTCTGTTAGACATGCTGAGATGCGAGCAGCTATCGTCGGACCATCAGGATGGAATGAGAAGTAGAGTTGAGTGTCATCAGCATAGCAGTGATATGAAAAGCCATGTTTCTGAATGACAGAACCTAGTGATGCCATGTAGACAGAGAAGAGAAGTGGTCCAAGTACTGAGCCCTGAGGCACCCCAGTAGCTAGATGTTGCAACTTGGACACCTCACCTCTCCAATTGCGCTTTTTCACTGCATGGTACAGCACGGTACGGCTCGGGAAGGTTCACTTTTGGGGGGTTTTCCACTGGGTACAGTACCTGGTACTTTTTTTCGGACCACCTCGGTTGGGGTGCCAAGTGAACCGTACCGTTACCAAAACGTGACGTGTAAACTCTGCTGATCACTGATTGGCCGGAGAGTATCGTCACTACTGCGTCATTGAACTTGCGACGTGAGACACAACAGACCCGCTAGATTTAAATCAGCACTGCCAGCGAAGGATCGAACGCAACTTTTGTTTGAACAAACGCTCTTTTTTTGTAACATCCAAAAAATTGCTTTTTTGTGGTCTGTTGAGAAAGTACAGATGTTCCTCTCGTTGATAGCCGAGGAGCGGATCCAGCGAGAGCTTGATGGGGCGACGCGGAATGAAAACGTTTTTCAGGAGGTCGCTCACCTCGGTTGGGGTGCCAAGTGAACCGTACCGTTACCAAAACGTGACGTGTAAACTCTGCTGATCACTGATTGGCCGGAGAGTATCGTCACTACTGCGTCATTGAACTTGCGACGTGAGACACAACAGACCCGCTAGATTTAAATCAGCACTGCCAGCGAAGGATCGAACGCAACTTTTGTTTGAACAAACGCTCTTTTTTTGTAACATCCAAAAAATTGCTTTTTTGTGGTCTGTTGAGAAAGTACAGATGTTCCTCTCGTTGATAGCCGAGGAGCGGATCCAGCGAGAGCTTGATGGGGCGACGCGGAATGAAAACGTTTTTCAGGAGGTCGCTCAGCTCTTGGCCGCACACGGACCTACAAACAATGTAGGGATAAGTAAAAAAAAAACTGAAGAGCGACTACAGAAGCATAAAGGACCACAACAGCCGGAGTGGTTCAAACAGACGATCGTGGAAGTGGTTCGACCAAATCAGGGGTAGGCAAGTTCGGTCCTAGAGAGCCGCAGTCCTGCAGAGTTCAGCTCCAACCCTGAAAAAAAACTCACCTGCCTATAGCCTTAGTAATCCTGAAGACATTGATTACCTTGTTCAGGTGTGTTTGATTAGAGATGAAGCTAAACTGTTGCAGTTTCTTAAGTGAATGCAAGTAAGAACTACCTTCAGCATGAGTCCGTCCACTTTGATATCTACATGCTCTTCAGGTTTCTGCGAGTCATTGAGTTTGTACAGCTCCATAAATTGTTCTAAGCTCTGACGAAGGTCCAACGCAAACAGATTGAGCCAAACCAGACTGCGAGAGTCAAGCACCAGCTGTAGTGCGTTCAACTGCACATACAAGTTGGGACAGGGGACTGCAGAGAGAGTTTATTCATGTCAATTCAGAGAATGCTTGAGTTGAACTGATATTAAGTGACTATTCTGATTTTGTCAGCATTTATTATGTATGCTGCCACTTCTGTCTTACTGGGATAGTCTTTGCCATCTGGGAAGTAGTACTCTGTGAATTCGGCATGGATAGCCGGCATCTCTTGGGGGAGGTAGAGGGATTTCTTATTGCAGGATATCATGCTTTGAGGACTTGAGCGTGGCTGGTCTGCTGTAGACACCTTCAATACAGCAGAAAAATCAACTTTTAAAGAGTTACTTAAAAATGTCATAATTTACTCAAGTCAATGATGACAACATTTATGCATCTTGATGCAACACATTTGAATTTGAAATGAGTATAAATGGCGCTAAAGAGCTATTTCAGAGGGAAAGATTATTAGTGCATGTGTATGTGTGTTCTTCCACACAAACCTGAAAGATGCTGAAATCTGCCATCCGTAGCACAATTGAGCTGGACATGAGTTGGGTTTTTGGTGCAGGTGGGGGCGAGAAGGAAGTGCTGGAGCCGGTGGAGATCTTTCCTGTGGGAAACACATAAACTCAGACATCACAAACACAGTGGACCATCTGCACAAACCGCAGCCATGTGTTTGTGTGGCACCTCAAACGCACACCAGAGAGGTACCTGTCTCCAGACACCAGCAGCAGTTGGCCGTGGGGGAGAGCGGCCACAAGCCATCTGGGCCTGAGTCCAGCTCCCTAACCATTATCCCTCCACCCTGCGCCTCTAAGACAATCGACTGATGGACTGGGGACACAGAACCCATTACGCAAAAAACCTCTCAAACTAGGACAGGTGTTAGCTGCTACCAGGATACACTTAATGGCCACAACACATTCTAAATTATATCCATGATCATAATATACTCATATAATATAAATATTAGCCATACTATGCTATTGAGCTAAAAACTGTATCACTTTAGCTAAAGACCCTTATACAAAGACTCTGCTATGCTTTCAGTGGCCACATGGAAAACCTCTTGTTAGCCATGAACAGAACTACAACCCATAACTGTGCAGTCAGTGTCATCTGAAAGTGTCTTTGTGAAGAGCCCTTAAAATAGAGTGTCACAAATTCTTGCTATATTGATTGTTTGGATGAGCAGATATCCAGATCTATAATTAATAGTTGTCAATTAAATAACCAGTGTCCGGATCACATTTGACCCCAAAATCCCCCCCTAAAAATAAATGAACAAACAAATAAAAAAATGAATTAATGAAACTGATTTTTGCGTTATTTTCATGCCATTTTGCACACAACTTCTAATTACCATAATGCATCCCTTTATATGAATAATAATATGAATATAATGCCAGCACAAATTCAAAGCAATACATCAGTACTACGATACTGTGTGTATGTATATATATATATATATATATATGTGTGTGTGTGTGTGTGTGTGTAATATGGGAAAATGGGTTTAATAGTCATGAAAATAATGTCAAAAGTTCTTATTTATTTCTTTTGATTTTGGGGTCAAATATGATCCAGACATGTTCTCGATAGGTTGCATGAAATTCATCCATTTTCTGTTTTTCAGTTACAATGAGATGAAATCAGCCAATCAAGGTGTGTTAATGGGCAGGACGTTCTCACCGTGCTGAGGGGAGCTCTGGGTCTGGCCACTGACTGCATTTTTGAGCATTTCCAAATTAGACTTAAACTCATCCAGGAGAGAACGGGCCCAGGTCTCACGAGACTTTGTGGCCTCACCGTAATGCATCCAGTGCATACAGGTCTCACCTGAGAGAGAGAAAGAATGATGTTTTCATAATCAGAACATCTTCTTGTTTAACAGGTTATTACAGTAAGAATCTAATGTGTTTGAGGAGTTTACCAGCTTTGTGGTAGGGATAATAATCTACGCTGATAGAGTTGAAGGACAACTGCATTGCACCACCATCAAATCTCTTATTAATTCCTGCAGAGTGAAAAAGACATATTTCAGCTAAACACCAAACTCTATAACACACTTTGGTGTTAACAGTATTATGTGTGCATATGTGGTACCTCTGTCCTTGGCATTGGTGTCGTCACAGATATGCAGGTCGAGATGTGTGATTTGAAGGTGGTGTGAGGTCTCACGAACATCATAGGCGTTAAACAGCCGTGCCATAGAAGCGGTCTGATCTGCTGTGGCTGAAGCCTGCTGTGTGCGCACCTGTTGGGCTGAAGGAGGTGCCGGTGTTACCTAAAAACACCAACAGAGTTGAAATACACTGTACAGAAATCTCCAAAAACACAGCAAACATTTGACACATCACCAGTCCAAAATCTGAACTAAAATTTTCAACCAGTAGAGGGCACCAAAATATTATTTTGAGAACAGAAAGCAAACCTTTAAAAAAAAAAAAGAGGAAGTATGAAAGAAGTGGTGTGGCTGATTAATGAAGGGGATGAGGAAGTAGCTTCAAACACACACCTGTGTGGTATCGGGGGCCATGCTCTTCCTCTGCGCAGCTGATTTTTCCATGGCTTCACTAAGAGACTTAGCGTACTGCACCATGGCCTTGAGCTGAGAGTCCGTCAGCACCCACAGCAGGTC